TGGCAGGCTCCAAACCCTGCTGAGACAGCCATAATGGTGAAACAAAGAAACAAATCCCAAATGAAAGAACAAGAGAATTCTACAGAAGAAGGGAGAAATAAAATGGAGTTACACAAGTTATCAGAGGTAGAGTTCAAAGTAATGATTCTGAGGAAGCTCAACAGAATGAGTAAAGATACAGAAAGAATGAAAATCAACCAACTGAAAATGAAAAACCACCAAGCGGAGATGAAGAATGACATAGCAGAAATAAAGAACACATTAGAAGGAATAACCACCAGATTAGAGGAAGCCGAGGATTGGATCAACGAATTAGAAAACGGTAGGAAAAAAAAAAAAATCAGAGAACCAAAAAGAAAAAACAATGAAAAAAACAGGAGGACAGTTTAAGAGAGCTGTGGGACAATATGAAACGTAACAACATCCACATCATATGAGTAGCAGAAGAAGAGGAAAATGAACAAGGGTTAGAGAATATATTTGAAGAAATAGTGGCAGAAAACTTCCCTAACTTGGTGAAGGAAAAAGACATACATGTTCAGGAAGCACAGAGAGCCCCAAGTAAGAAGAACCCAAAGAGGCCCACACCAATTCACACCATAATTAAAATGCCAAAAATTAAAGACAAAGAATTTTAAAGGCAGCAAGAGAAAAGCAACAGATTACCCACAGAGGAGCCCATAAAGCTGTCAGCTGATTTATCAACAGAAACACAACAGGCCATATGGGAATGGCATGAAGTATTCAAGGTAATGAAAAACAAGGATCTGAATCCAAGACTACTGTATCCAGCAAGGCTATCATTCAAAATAGAAGGTGAAATAAAGAGCTTCCCAGACACAAAAAGGCTAAGGGAATATATTAGCACAAAACCAGCACTGCAAGAAATGTTAAAAGGACTGCTGTAATCAGAAGAAAGAGAGAGAGAAACATAGCCATAATAAATAAAAGTGGCAATAAATAAGTACATATCAATAATCTTAAATGTAAATGGATTAAACTCTCCAAGAGTGTATGAGACTTCTTTGAATCATCATCATCACCAAAGTATTCAACGTGTAGAATATCATGTGCAAGACTTGTATTAAAGTGGGTAGCCCATCCTTACTTAGGCATAAAGTGAGTAATACTTAATATAAACTTAGTAATGTGTTAGTTTTCTTACTGTTTTATAACTTAGTTTTCAAAGAATTACATTACAGTACAGTATGCTCCTCTCTGATAATTAGAGAAACTGCATATCAGCTAATCATCACAAGGGTTTTTTGTTTTTGTTTTTTTTCATTCTAAAAGAGGATGAGAGTCACCTTTTTTTAAAAAACTTATCTTTATTGTTTAATGTATTACAGATGTTCCTCATTTTTCCCCCATTGACCCCCTCCTCCCCACTGACACCCCCCTCCTGCCTTTCGCCACACTGTTGTCTGTGTCCATTGGTTATGCATATATGCATATCAGTTCTTTGTTTATTTCTTCCCTTCCTCTATACCCACTTCCCTTTGAGGTTTGTCAGGCTAGCAACCAGTTTGTACTTCTTAATCCCTTCACCTTTTTCTCCCATTCCCCCAACCCCCCTCCCATCTGGCAACCAACAAAATTTCTCTGTATCTATAAGAATGTTTTTGTTCTGCTTGTTCATTTTGTTTGCAGATTCAATTGTCAATAGATATGTATTCATTGCCATTTTGTTGTTCATATTTTTTATCTTTTTCTTCAAGAAGACCCTTCAACATTTCATATAATAATGGTTTTGTGGTGATGAACTCCTTTAGCTTTTCCTTGTCTGGGAAACTCTTTACATGGCCATCAATTCTAAATGACAGCTTTGCAGGCCAGAGTAATCTTGGTTGTAGGTTTTTGCTTTTCATCACTCTGAATATTTGTTGCCACTCCCTTCTGGCCTGCAAAGTTTCTTTTGAGAAATCAGCTGACAGCCTAATGGGTACTCCCTTGTAGGTAACTAGCTGCCTTTCTCTTGCTGCTTTTAAGATTCTCTCTTTGTCTTGAACCATTTGCATTTTGATGATGATGTGTCTTGGTGTGGGCCTCTTGGGGTTCATCTTGTTTGGGACTCTCTGTGCTTCCTGGACTTGTATGTCTGTTTCCTTCACTAGCTAGGGAAGTTTTCTGCCATATTGTTTCAAGTAGGTTTTCGATTTCTTGTTCTCTCTCTTCTCCTTCTGGCACCCTCAAGATGTGAATGTTGGCACGCCTGAAGTTGTCCCAGAAGCTCCTTACACTATCCTCTTTTTTTTTTTTCTTTTTGCTGTTCTGATTGAGTGTTTTTTGCTTTCTTATATTCCAAATCGATGGTTTGCTTCTTGGCTTTACCTGCTCTACTATTGAATCTGTGTAAATTATTCTTTATTTTAGTCAGTGCCTCATTCATTTCTGACTGTGCATCCATCATTTCTGACTCCTCCTTTTTTATTGTCTTGAGGTTCTCACTAAGTTCATTGAGCATCCTTATAAGCAGTGTTTTGAACTCTGCATCTGTTAGATTGCTTATCTCCATTTTGCTTAGTTCTTTTCCTGGAGTTTGTTCTGTTCTTTTATTTGGGACCTGTTTCTTTGTCTCCTCATTTTGGCTGCCTCCCTGTGTTTGTTTCCATGTATTACTTAATGAGAGGTATGGGGCTATCTGAGACCAGATGCTGCTTGTTTGAAAGAATTTAGGAAAACCTGAAGCAGGATCCAAGACGGGCCAATCCTATGATAAAGCAGCTGGCAACAGCTTGGATGGGCCTGAAAGTTGGGTAGAGCAGGGCCCTCAGGGAATCACCAGGGCTGGGCAAACACTGTGAGCCAGGTTGCTGGAGTCCCACCTATGGCAGCTGTCTGCCGCCCCAGGGAATGTCTCACCAAAGGAACAAAGGCCTCTGACAACACGTCTGTCCAGGGGAAAGCTTCCTCTCCAGCCCTCGCTCCAATGACAAACAACTCAGTTCTTCCCCTGTATGTCTCTGGTGCCTTTCAAGTTGCCTCCCCTATGCTGGAGCCTGGAGGGTGCGAGTCTGAGTAAGTCCATGCGTGGCCATTTAACAGGAGTTGCCTGAGGCTCCAGATGCCTCAGCCTCCCTCAGTCTCAGTTCCCACTGGTTTTTCCATCCAGAAGTTATGGGGACTTCTCTTCCTGGCACTGGAATCCTGAGCTGGGTGCCTGATGTGGGATGGGGACCCATCAATCCTCAGGGAGGACCTTCTCAGCCGAGGTGTCCCTCCTGATTTTTATGCACCACATGTGGGTGTGAGACCAACCCGTCGCGCCTCTCCCCCTCCTACCAGTCTCAATGTGGCTGCTTCTTTAATTTCGTAGTTATAGGACTTCCATTCAGCTTGATTTCAGGTGGCCTTGAATGATGGTGGTTCTGTAGTTTAGTTGTAACTTCGATGTGGTTGTGGGAGGACCCGCTACCATGTTTACCTACGCCTCCATCTTGACCAGAAGTCTATCACAAGTGTTTTTAAAAATGTAAGTGTTTCCAACACTATATTATGAGTAGGACTATAATACTGTATGTCATAAAAATTTTTATAACCATTTATTTTATAGGCTAGGCTACTGTGAATCAGTTATATTGATTATACTAGAATACCATAAAGCAAATCATATTGCTGCTTCTTTGTTTTCAATGTATGAATTGTTATACCTGTAAATGAATGTACATTTTTGAACATTATCTTTTCATTTTTGATGTCTACTGTTAGTAATACGTATAAATCTACAATGTTTTGTATCAAATAAGACAATATTGATGGAGGTACTGATAGATGATCCATCTTGTAAACAGACAAAATAAACTTATAATATCAACAAATACAGTACAGTACTATAAGTGCTGGTTTTCTTAATAGTATTGTCTTTTCTCTAGCTTACTTTATTGTAAGAATACAGTATGTAATACACATATAAAACATGTAAATTAACATGTAAATTTTATCAGTAAGACTGCTAGTCAGCAGTAGGCTTTTAGTAATAAAGTTTTAGAGAAGTCAAAGTTATACATGGATTTTCAACTTTATGGGGGTTGGTACCCCTGAGTCCTTCATTGTCCAAGGGTCAACTGTATTAAATAAATACTCATTGCATGCACCTATTGAGGATATTCATCTTTGTGTGTAGAACTAGCAGATCTTCAACATCAAATATTTGAAGATGGTACTATTTTTTTTCTGAGATTTGAGGTGCATGTTGCAGATCCTGTATTCTATTGCTGTGGTTCTCTGTCACATGCTGGCAGGTTTTTTGCTAGCAACTTTACCTCCTAATTCTTTACTTTTGACATTTGAAGTGATAATTCACTGCTGTCCTACATGGACCAAAAATCAAAATTACCAACTCTGAGCACAAACTTTATTTTAGGATTGTAAGCTGTCAATTGTGCTGCTGTGACTTCAAGTACAGAATGTTTAAAAATAAACTCATCTCCTTCACAAAACTGTCTTCATGTTTCTGTTAGTGTTTTTCTTCCAGTCATTCCAGCTCAATATTTGATTCATCTTTGATGCCTTGCTTTTCCTTTCTCTTATATACAATTACTTATTATAATTTTCCATGCTCTCCGTCCCTTTCTTTTCATTCTCACAATAATCCAGTTTAAGATGTAATCACCTTACCCTTTTGCAATAACTTTAAAAATCTTCCTATCTGCAGAAAGATTAATTTTTCTAAAATCAAATTTTATCTTGTCCTTTCCTTGTTTAAGATTTCTTCCTTAGAATACTTCTCAAAATTATTCTGGTGATTTCCTTCATCAACAAATCCATAGGAGTTTGTTGTGCGCAATTTTGAACAAAGATATTATACCCTTAACCACTACATATTGAGTTATTATAATGAGCTGTATTATAAGACACATATTTGAAAATATTTGACTTCCTAACATTTTAGCTATGTAATGGTTAATTTGAAAACATGCCTTCAGCTATAATATATTATTTTTCTTCCTCTATTTTTACAATTTTAAAATTATAAAAAACTTTTTTTTAATTTCTTTTAGAACAGGTGGGATTATTCCTCCAGTAGCTCAACAACTTCACAGAGAAAATATTCAACGAATAGTACAAGAAGCTCTCTCTGTCAGTAAAGTCTGTCCAAGTGAACTCTCAGCAATTGCAACTACCATAAAACCAGGACTTGCTTTAAGCTTGGGAGTGGGCTTATCCTTTAGCTTACAGCTAGTTGACCAGTTAAAAAAGCCCTTTATTCCCATTCATCATATGGAAGCTCATGCACTTACTATTAGGTTGACAAATAATGTAGAATTTCCTTTTTTAGTTCTTTTGATTTCTGGGGGCCATTGTCTATTGGCATTAGTTAGAGGAGTTTCAGATTTTCTGCTTCTTGGAAAGTCTTTGGACATAGCACCCGGTGACATGCTTGACAAGGTAATTAAGAATTTCTACATTCTTTTTTGTTAACGTGTCTGTTTCGGTTAAATAGTAATAGCTGTACTAGTACCATTCATCTAAATATTTCTGAATAATATCATATTAGACTGAAAAAGTATATGTGCAGTAAGACAAAAAGAAAAAGTAGCGCCTAATTTACAAAAGATTCTTTTTTACCCATTCCAAATAAAATGGTCAGAGGTTTGTATCAGCACATAACGGCACAAATAGTTTGCAAACATAGTTATGATTTTAAAATAGGATAATATATGTGAAAGAAAATATTTTGTGAAGTGTAAAGTACTGTAAAAATGTGAAATATGAGGATATATAAAGGTAACATAAGGATATTAAAGATGCACAAAGTGCTATGGTTAAATGTCATAATTGCCCATACAACCAAGCATATTTCTGTTTCCTTTGTTCTAGAATCCTACAGAACCTAATGCCATATACAGAAATCCTGCTGCCAACAGCAGAAATGATTAGAAGAAATAGGGCAGGTTCTTATTTTTGAAGTTCATCATTAAGTGGTCATTGTTAACTTCAAACCTATTTTCCATCCCCAGTAGAGGAGCAAAAGTAGATATGGAGGCAGTGATTGGCTGCTATTTATCAAATTGTCAGAAAGAGCAAAATTGGCTCTTTACTGGCCATCAGCCATCGTCCATATTTGTAAAAGTATAGCATGTCTTATTCATCCAGGATTTTTGTGTTTTTTATTTCCTTTGCATCTTGGTTTCAAAATGTGCAGTTTTATGACTCATTATAAATTTTTTTGTCTGTTTTTAATAGGTAGCAAGAAGACTTTTTTTAATAAAACATCCAGAGTGTTCCACCATGAGTGGTGGGAAGGCTATAGAACACTTGGCTAAACAAGGAAATAAATTGCATTTTGAATTCAAACCTCCCATGCAACGTGCTAAAAATTGTGATTTTTCTTTTACTGGACTTCAACACGTTATTGATAAGACAATAACGCAAAAAGAAAAAGAGGAAGGTATATTTCTAATTAATAAAATTGGACAAATAAGTAATCCTGGATTGTGCCTAAAAATACCTGCTTGTTTCTGCAGGGATTGAGAAGGGGCAAATTCTATCTTCAGCTGCCGACATTGCTGCTGCAGTACAACACATAACGGCATGTCACATTGCAAAAAGAACACATCGTGCTATTTTGTTTTGTAAGCAGAGAGACTTGTTACCTCAAAGTAATGCGGTACTGGTAAGTTTTCTCATCACATCTTAGAATAGTAGTAACACTTTACTGTATGATATTTTTCTTCCAAGAACTTAATTAACCCTGTGCATAGGATGGAAAGGTCTTTATGCCATAAGCCAGCCCTGACAGTATGAAATATGAATAAAGACTAACATCCATTTCTGGTACAGTCATGGCAGCTTTATGGGACATATGTATAACCTGTGTGGCAAAAAAAAAAAAAAAAAAAAGTCTAAGGCTGCATCTTTTCATTGAATTTAAAAGAAGGTTTACAATAAGAAATGAAATGGAGTAACTGGTGTCATTATTTTTAAAAAAATAGTGCCCTGGCCAGTTTGGCTCAGCAATTAGAGCATTGGCCTGTGGTCTGGAGAGACCCGGGTTTGGTTCCCACTAAGAGCATGTACCTCAGGACTTCCGGTCAAGATGGCAGTGTAGATAAACACGGTATCGAGTCCTCCCACAAAGACATCAAAGTTACAACTAAACTACAGAACAACCATCATTCAAAACTGCCTGAAATCAAGCTGAATGGAAGTCCTACAACTACGGAATTAAAGCAGCAGCTGCATCGAGATTGGTAGGGGTGGAGGCGGACAGGCTGGTCCCACACCCATGTGTGGCGGATAAAATTAGGAGGATACCTCGGCTGGGAAGGTCCTCCCTGAGGACTGAGGGGTCCCCGTCCCACGCCAGGGGCCCTGTTCAGGGTTCCAGTGCCAGGAAGAGAAGTCCCCATAACTTCTGGCTGGAAAAACCAGTGGGAACTGAGGCTCAGGGGGGCTGAAGCTGCTGGAGTCCCAAGCAGCTCCTTAAAGGGCCCGCACACAGACTTGTCGGACTCACTCCCTCTAAGCTTGGAAGGGAGGCAGCTCGAGGGGCACCAGAGAAATACAGGAAAGAACTGAGCTGTTTGGCACTGGAGCGAGTGCTGGAGAGGGGGCTTTCTCAGGGACAAACGTGCTGTCAGAGGCCTTTGTTCCTTTGGTGAGCCCTTCCCGGGGGGCGGCAGACAGTCGGCATATCTGGGACTACAGCAACCTGGTAGCCCCACCCTGGTAATTCCCTGAGGCCCCGCCCCACGCAACTTTCAGGCCCACCCAAGCTGTCCCAGTTGCTTAACCATAGGATTGGCTTGTCTTGGATCCTGCTTCAGGTTTCCTAAATTCTTTCAAACAAGCAGCATCTGGTCTCAGATAGCCCCATACCTCTCATTAAGTAATACACAGAAACAAACACAGGGAGGCAGCCAAAATGAGGAGATAAAGAAACAGGTCCCAAATGAAAGAACAGAACAAAACCTCAAGAAAAGAACTAAGCGAAATGGAGATAAGCAACCTAACAGATGCTGAGTTCAAAATACTGCATATAAGGATGCTCAGTGAACTTAGTGAGAACCTCAATGAACTTAGTGAGGGCCTCAAGAGCATAAAAAAAGGTCCAGTCAGAAATGATGGATGCACAGTCAGAAATGAAAGAGGCACTGACTAAAATAAAGAATAATTTACACAGATTCAATAGTAGGATACGTAAATCCAAGACGCAAACCATTGATTTGGAATATAAGGAAGCAAAAAAAAAACACCCAATCAGAACAGCAAAAAGAAAAAAGAATCCAAAAAAATGAGGATAGTGTAAGGAGCCTCTGGGACAATCTCAAGCGTGCCAACATTCGCATCTTGGGGGTGCCAGAAGGAGAAGACAGAGACAAGAAATCGAAAACCTGTTTGAAACAATAATGGCAGAAAACTTTGCTAACTTGGTGAAGGAAACAGACATACAAGTCCAGGAAGCACAGAGAGTCCCAAACAAGATGAACTCCAAGAGGCACACACCAAGACACATCATCATCAAAATGCAAAAGGTTCAAGACAAAGAGAGAATCTTAAAAGCAGCAAGAGAAAGGCAGCTAGTTACCTACAAGGGAGTACCCATTAGGCTGTCAGCTGATTTCTCAAAAGAAACTTTGCAGGCCAGAAGGGAGTGGCAAGAAATATTCAGAGTGATGAAAACCAAGAACCTACAACCAAGATTACTCTATCCTGCAAAGCTGTCATTTAGAATCGATGGCCATATAAAGAAAGAGTTTCCCAGACAAGAAAAAGTTAAAGGAGTTCATCACCACCAAACCATTATTATATGAAATGATGAAGGGTCTTTTTGAAGAAAAAGATAAAATATATGAACAAACAAAATGTCAATGAATACATATCTATTGACAATGGAATCTACAAACAAAATGAACAGGCAGAGCAGAAACATTCTCAGATACAGAGAATGTTTTGTTGGTTGCCAGATGAGAGGGGAGTTGGGGGAATGGGTGAAAAAGGTGAGGGGATTAAGAAGTACAAATCATTGCTAGACTTACAAACCTCAAAGGGAAAGGGGTTGGGGGGTGGGAAGAAGTAAACCAAAGAACTTATATGCATAACCAATGGACAGAGACAATAGTGTGGGAAAAGGAGAGAGGGAGGCGGGAGTGGGGAGGAGGGGGTCAATGGGGGGAAAATGAGGAACATCTGTAATACATTCAATAATAAAGATTTAAAAAAAAAAAAAAAAGAGCACGTACCTTGGTTGCAGTTTGTCCCCGGCCCTGATTGGGTCACGTGGGTGGCAACCACTCCATGTGTCCCTTTCACATTGATGTTTCTCTCTCCCTCCCACTCTATCTGAACAAAATATCTAAAAAAATGTCCTTGGGTGAGGATAAAAAGACAAAAAATAGGCTGATTTCCTTAATATTTATGTTTCTATGGTGAAATGTCTTTAATGTGTTTAAAGCCTTGATAAACTTCTTATTTAAACTTCATTCTTTTAAAAATTATGATGTGAGACAATATCTAAATGATAGTAGATTCACAAAATTGAATATCAAAGATAATAGTTTTTTTAAGAATTCTGTAGTAAAAAGAAAAAATGTTTATAAGTAAAAACTTCAAGGTCTAAAGTATTGTTGTACCATGATTGTAATTAGGAAGTTTAGAAGAAAATATACAAAAATGATAGGAGTGATTATTGGTTGATACTAAAATTTTTGGTGATTTTTTCTCTCCAAATTGTTGTTATACAAATATATCACTTGCCCATTTTCATCTATCAGAATGTGATATTTTTATTGTATAATGCTGCTGCTTTCCTCAAGTTTAGCTAAAAGTTTGGCTCATATCCATTTGTTAATTTTGGTCTTCTCAATTCCTTTAGGTTGTATCTGGAGGAGTTGCAAGTAACTTATATATCCGAAAAACTCTGGAAATTGTAACAAATGCAACACAATGCACTTTGATGTGTCCTCCTCCCAGACTGTGCACTGACAATGGCATCATGATTGCATGGTAAGCCAAGGGATATATATGCTTCCTTCATAATTATGTAAATATTAATTGCCATTTCATCATGCTAAATATTCTTCCTTTAAATCTTGGGCTGTTTACTATACTTTAATGATTCTTATTTAGGAATGGTATTGAAAGACTGCGTGCTGGCTTGGGCATTTTATACAACACAGAAGGCATCCGCTATGAACCAAAGTATGTAGTACTATTCATATCTTTATGCAAGTTGCATTATAAAAGTCAAAGCCTTGATTTTGCTTTTATATATGAGGTTTTCATTGACATTCTGGTTATATTATTTCTTTCATTAACCTAGGAGGTAGACACCTTATAAGAAATACTTTTACTACAATTTAAAATCATAAAAAATTTTACAAATCATAGGTTAGAAACAGGTGGTGGGTAAGGGTGATGGATTCCTTTATTTGGAAACAATGGAAACCATGTCTATGGCCTGACTTTTGCAATGTTAAAACCATCTCAGAACTGGCGAGTATGCTGGGAAACTTAAGGAAAATGTGCAAAAAGCATTCAGGTTGAGACTAGGCTGTGAATATGCTCTTTAACATGCAGCTGAGAAATGGCCAAAAGATAACTGTTTTCTGCAAGTCTTATTTTATCTCTCAAATCAAAGTTCCAAAGAATAGCAAAGTTTTTCAATTTTTTAAGTTCTGGTGTAAATTAATTCTAGAATAGTAAAAACAGTAAAGGATGACTGTGTTTCAAAATCTAACATAGTTCTGTTTCTAACATTGTTTCATCTGATGTTTTAAAACTTTTCCACATTATAGTCCATAACTGTAGCTATATGAATCACGGACTCTTATGGCTGATTATAAATGAACAGAGTTTGGTTAGTAGTAGCAGAAGAAAACCCTATGTCCATGGCCTAGCCTTTGGTAGAATATATCATCTGATCCAGTAGTCTTTTGGCAGTGTGGAGGCTGGAGACTGTGACTTTTTCCAGGTTGGGCAACAGAGTAAAAAAGCAGAAATCAGAAGCCAAAATTATTAACTAATGAAGCACAAAGAAAGGGGGTAGGATCTAAGACCTCTCCTGCCAATAGCAACAAAGGAGGGTAGAAAAGGAACAAGCCAAATTTTGAAACCTCAGAGAAGAATCGATAGAAACCTGGGAAATTTCTAAAGTAGGAATGGGTGCAGGTTTGACTTTAGTTATATGGTAAACTGTTTTCACCTTCTTAGCTTTGTAGAGAATTATAAGACTTTTTGGTTATTTTTCTCCTTCATTTTAAGTTTTAATTTATTGACAGTATTTGAGAGATGTGAATTATTTCTTTCAAAACATCTCAATCTCCAAAGTCATTGAGTTATATATTAAATATGTATAGCTTTTACATGTCAAATATACCTCAAAGTGGTTTTATAAAACCTCTAAATTTAGATTTCTTATTAGTGGAACTGGCCTTTCTTCATCTATTATTCTGGTTTGAGGTCCTATTGTATTTGTATGTACTCAAGAACTTTCACCACATATGATTAATGATAAATTAGATAGATATGTATATTGTTTGTTAGAATTCTAAGCAAATAGTCTGCAGAACTAGTGATCAGGAAGCAAATATTTGAAATAATGTGATTTGTCTTATTATGATGCAGATGTCCTTTAGGAGTGGATATATCGAAAGAAGTTGGAGAAGCTGCTATTAAAGTTCCAAGATTAAAAATGAATGTTTGAATTTTGCTTTTCAAAGATCCCTAAAGGTAGTATTTCAGCGTTCAGTTTTGATTTTTTATATATCAAATAGTAGGAGATACATAATATTGTTCATCAAGACTTTCTTTTGTTTTTCCTTTTCTTATGTTTGATGTTTAACCTGCTCTTCTGAGAGACTGTAATGATATGTTATTGTCTTATAAGAGAATATACATTTTAAATAAAATACCAAAGTAATACATCTTGTAGGGGAAAGGATGTACCAATATTGGCAGGTAGAAAAACAAACCTGCAAGAAGAAATACAGTGATTCTGCAAAATTTTGGACCCATGTTATACAGGCTTAGATCCTGCCCCCCACCACACTCCCTTTTCATATCAGAGTAATAGAAGTTTTTTTGTTGTTGTTTGTTTGTTTTTTGCTTCTGCTGAAACATTAGCCTGACTTTTCTAACAAGAGAACAGTTTTAGAAAGGGAGCTGGGTCAAAGTTGTGTCAAATCATAGAATTCGAAATCAAGGCAAAAGGTAATTTTGGCTAACAGAATGTATGTTATTATTTATAAAAATATATGTTATATAGATATGTTCTCTGGAGCAAAGGGAATGTCTATATGTTTCTTAAAACCCATCTGAAATTTTAAGAATAAGAATTGTTACATGCAAATGATTTCTCATTGCACATTGTACTTTTTAGTTGACCACATGTTTATATCCATTATTTAAAAAATTTTATTTAACTGATGAAAATATATGTGATGTAAAAGGTTTTGTTTTGTTTTTGAATACTTTCCTTGAATCTGAAACTTTGTACTTCAGATGTCATAACAGTTTATCACTTTTTTCTGCCTAGATTAAAGTAACTTTAATATAAGGACAATGCTACTGAAAATGTCCTTTGAGAGATTTTACCAGTAGAAATTTATATTGTGTCATCCATACAGGACAAGTTAACTCTCTAGTCACTGACTTGCTTTATTGAGAAACTAGGAGGTAAGGATAAAAATCTATAATGAAAAGATTTCTTTTTTAATCCTGCCTTAAAGTGATTTCCCTTTGGGAAAATTCCATAAGCAATTCTTTTCTTTGGAATTGTGATCATATGGCTTTGCTTTATGATCATCCATTTTATCCAGGAAATAGAAAATATAATTTATATAAGGGAACTTATAAGAAATAACCAATATTTAGAAAGCTTTGCATTGTTTGATGTTGAGATATAGGTATGATGAAATTGGTTTACAAATATTTAAAAGAAATAATTAGTTTGTGAATTCACATCTTACATTTAGATTTTTGTTCCGTATCACATGGATCTGAATTCAGAGAGAAGTGTTATTATTTCCTGTGGCTATTACAGTTAGAGTGTATATAAATAATGGAAGAAAATTGACCAGACTTTCTTCCCACTATCACAAATATTATAAAATAGGGATATCTATAATTTAAATTGTTACTTTCAAAGTATAAATATTGTTCCAGTTGCTACGAGCACACATGTCAAAATTGAGTTCATGATATAAGTAAGGGAAACTATAGATAAAGAAAATGAGAAAATTCTGGAAGCATTGCATATCTTTAGGCCTTTCAGTACTTAGCCATATGGAAGGAAGGAAGGAAAGGAAAGAAGAAAGAGAGAAATATGGAAAGGAAAGGGAAGGAGAAACACTGAACTCTAGATTTGCTGCAACCTCTATATCTTGGGGCCTTTCTCATATTTTTAAAAAATTATTATTATTACTGCTTTTTTAGAGAGAGAGGAAGGGAGAGAGAGAGAATCATCGCTGAGAGAGATAAACATGAATTGGCTGCCTCCACATGCCCCCTACTGGGGATCTACCAGAAGTCAAACCGGGACCTCTCAGTCCATGGAATGACGCTCAATCCACTGAGCCACATCAGCTGGGCAGAGGCCTTTCTCATCTTATACATACTTTTAAAAAATAAAAATAATCTTTATAGGGGGTAGGGGGTTGTACTTTAGGAGAAATACTATAGGTCAAGCCACTCAGGTATTGTCTGTTACTGAATGCAAAAAAAACCTGATCCTCATACCTGAAAATACTCGTATAGTCTGTAGCCCACCTGAAGCTAGTTGCAAAGGTAAAGTTTTCTATCTAAAGGCTTTTTCTTTTAAGTCTACAGAGGCTTAAAATTTCCATTGATATGAATTATTATCCTTAATGATAGTAAATAAATGACAATTTCCCATCATTTGAATCGTTTATCCCTTTCTAGTATAAAATTTGTCATGCCTCTCCCACCACAATGCCTATATTTTAGTCCATTCACCAGAAAGTTGTGATTCAGAGCAATATAAGAGAATATAGAATTGAATTTGAAAATTAAAGAGGTGTCTTATTGTGCACCTGGCCTTGACTCGGACACATAGAGAAGTCTAAGTACACATAGCTGCTGTCACCACCATCATTACTGCTGTGTTAAGGCATGTTGGAGGAAATAACTACTAATTACATATATATTTAGTGCAGCCAGGTAGACCATATGAAGACAGCAAAGTGGGTAGAGAAAAGGGGGGCTGTAAAGGACACAGTGAAGTCTAGCTTGCTTTTGTATCAAATCTATCTGCTGCTGTAAAATAGGAGAAGCAGACATACATCAAAACTGCTACCTACTGGAAATAGTATTCTTTGGGCCAAGATTCCATGTGATTCAAAGCTACGAAGAGTATCAACCTTTCCAGCTGCAAACCACAGGTTTTCAATAAGTACGGAGAGTGGTCAGTGCTGGTTGCCACATTTTTAGCCATACTTTTGTACCTGATGGTCATGAGTTCAGATTTTTTTTTTAATAAAATGGTTTAAAGGTATACATTTCAGATTTTAGAAGCCTTGTGTATATATGGTCTTTATCATTAAATATCTTAAGGTATTATAGTGAGTTAACATGTGGGCTACTTTGAATCAGGCCTTCTTAGTCCACATACTAATTAAAAAATATAGCACTTGATACATACACTAATTATGCCACTTGTGTCAGTTGCTACATTTTAAAAGTTTTAAGTGCTGGCATTCTAGTTTAGAAAATTCTACTTATTTTTTGAAACCATAACTCTGGTCTGAGTTTAATTCCAGTAATACACAAGGGTAAATCTGTTATGTATCAATATCAAGAACTCCCATTAAAAATGATTAATCAGTTATGTTATGTATAATTTACCACAATTAAAAATAAAAAATTTAAAAAGATTGCTCAGGAATCCTTTCATACTACAATGTTTTTATTAGCCTTCTGCAGCTTCCGAATTAGCTTTCTGTACATGTTTCCCAAGTTCATTCAATAACACTATTCTTGGTCTTGATACTTGTATATCTGATGAAATTGCAGATGAAAAGGAAGCAATATTATGAGAAACAGTGGTCTTTTTTGTTGTTTTAAAGAGTCCCATGAAGTTAGTTACAGGAGGCAATAAAGTCAAAGAATCTCTTGGTTGAATTTTAGGTTTTAATTTTCTTCGGTGCTCTTTTCCTAAAAATAAGAGAGTCACAATTCAATGTCTCTTTGTTAAGCCTAAGAGCTCTAGGTTATAGTCTCATTGCCTTTATTCCATATGGTTCTATTTTCTTTACATCACTGAAACATATTAAGAGAACAGATCAGTAGCTTCCAGATTTGTAGATAGATGTCAGAGTGCAAAAATCTTTGGGGACCAAATATATAATTGTTAACTTTTTATTATGCCAAGTTGACACTAATAAAAGAACAAATGCCAACTATTTGAAATATTATTTTGTAAAAGAAGGGATATTTTAACACCAAAAGAAAGTGTAAAAGGCATATCTCAAAACGATGGACTTGCCATTGAATGAAATTAACTTTATCAGAAACTTGCTACATTGTCCTTATTTTTTCTTAAGTTACCACAGACCTGTGAAAACATCATCAGACAATTCCTGGTACACAGATTATTGATTGGAAAGCAATATTAAAGTGAAGAAAGAATAAGACTTACTAAAGAAACTATACAAAAAAAAGACATTCTTTTACCCATGATATTCAGAAATATAGCCTCCCATACATACATATCTAGCTTCCCTCAAATATTCCCTGAATAAATTAAGTTTTTTCCTTCTCCTTTTGTTCTCTCTCCCTATTCTCTCCCTTTCCATTTGTGACTGAAGCAAACTGATTTCTGAATGGTTCTATCCCTGCTTTTGACTATAGGACAATATACCAACTAAGACTGAATCTGGTCCTACACTAAGCACACATGAACAAGCACTAAGCATATACATGAAATCAATAAGTAATCTACTTTTCCTATCACATGTCTAATAGGCATTATGGATCACATTATAAGATCTGGACTTTGTCCGGCGGTGTGGCTCAGTGGTTGAGTGTCAACCCATGAACCAAGAAAGAGGTCACCAGTTTGATTCAGGTCAGGGCACACGCCCAGACAGTGGGCTTGATCCCTAGTGAGGGGCATAGAGGAGGCGGCCAATCAATGTTCTCTCTCATCGATTTTCTGTTTCTCCCTCTCACTTCCTCTCTCTCTATAATCAATAAAGGAAAAAAAATTTTTTTAAATGATGCTTTAAAAAAAAATCTGGACTTTGATCTCGGAGGCCTATCTATCATCTACCAGTCAGCTATCATCTACCAACTATGTGTAAAACAGTACAGAGTATAAGTGGAAAAGTGGTCTGTGCCCTAAGAATTCATTAAACAAGTTGTACATGGAACAGAACAATAGCAAGGTCATAATTTAAGTCATACTTACATGTTGTTTCAGTAATGACCTATTACTGTGCATGGCTTATGAAGAAAAGCAAAGTATGGGAGGAATTTCTATCAATTGATGTTAATAGGGAAGGCCTTAAAAGAAATGTTTATCATTGGCTTGTAAATGGGAAGATGCTTTAAGTATACAGAATTGCAAAAGCAAATGTTTACTGGTAAACTTTTCAGTAGCCTCTACATTTTGAATTTTTATAAGTGGAACACAGAATTGTAAAGTGTCATGGCTAGAAGTTACCTCAGAGATAAAAGAAAAATCAGTTACCTTTTTTAAAGACAGGAATTATGGATGGTCCTCCATTTTTCTCCAGGCTAAAAGGAAAACAT